CTGCTGACTGCAAGCATTGCTCAGCACACACGAGGTTGGGTGCTAGATTCAGTTTTATTTATTTACTGACTTTTAAGGTCTTGGCAGCCAAAGATCAGAAAGGCAAGTTCAAACTCGTTAATAAATGTTAAGTTCTAGGGGGTTGCATTTTGGTTCTCCCCCCATCCCCTAACATTTACATGTATAACAACTTAAATATAAACCAAACATCATTCATGTCCTTCATCTTTATTTTTCTGATTAAATCGTGACAGTGACTAAAGCTCAGTATTTCATCTACCATTTAACTGAGACCTTTGCAAAACTTGGAATTAATTTAATTAAAAAGAGTCATTCTCTTTAGAGTGATTTTTCTGGGGGAAGTCTCAGTATGTATTGAAACCTTTGCAGTTAGTGGAGTACAATAAATTGTTCCCAGTGTGACACTAAATAAAGAGCAGGTCCCAAGTAGCAATTGCAGAACCAAACAAAAAGCTAGAATGAAACAACCCATGTCCCTGGGTGGCCCTATGAAATCCATAAAGAACATTAAGCATAGCTTAAACTGTTGGGCTTTATCACCTAGGCACTAAATTAAGCCTAGCAACTAAAAAAGGAGGAGCTTGGTTGAAGCAGGTCTGTACAGCCACATCACTATTAATAAAGTGCATCTTGCATAAGTAAACATGCAGCCACTGGGCCAGTTACTACTGAAAACAAACAGCTTAAACCCCCTTAATAGTAGATATTTTGTCACTAGTTGTAATTTAGTTACCATCATATCAAGTCAAAGTGGGAGTCTATACTTGCAAAAATTCCTTCCTGGAACCAATGTGCAGGACAGTGGTAAAGAGGAGCACACAAGAAGTGACCAGGACCTGTATTCCCCAAGAAGACTTTCATTAAGCAAATGTAGTAAGTGCCTATTACGAATCCCATCGGGATCCGGGACTGCCATTCCAAATGGCATCTTGTACCATCTACCACCTCAGCTGGACACCTCAGCCTGATCCACAGGCTCCTTCCAGGGAAGGCTGCTGCAGGTGACCCCTGCCAGTGCTGCTGTGTTATCCTTCCTGGGAGTGCCCTCAGCCCACCGGTCCTGTTGGAGCTGGGATGGGATGCACCAGTGCAGCTCTACAACTGGAAAGCTGAAGTGAAAAACAGTTAAAAAGCTGCTCTCACCTGACATCTCGTCATGCCAAAGCATGTGTTCTGTACTTAGCTGAGCAGTAAATACATGGGGGGAAAAAAGAAAAAACCAAAGGATAAGGCATCCATCTTGCTGTGTATTTGCAGCCCATATTCCAGGTGGTGAGAGCTCTGAGCACCCTGTATCCTAAAACTGTTCATCTGAGCCAGCTGGACAGAGCTGTGGCAGGTACTCACTGGTGTGAGCAGTGGAGTGGTGCCAGTGGGATGGCAACAGGCTGCCTGACTGCTTGTAAACATTCACCTGAGCACATGGTTTGAAGAAGCAAAGGCTTTCCCAACCCTGGCCATGACTCAGCCCGCCCAAGGCTGGAGGAGCTTTTGGCAGGTAAGGCCACACCTTCCCATGAAGGCATCCTGGCTCTGGTGGTGGCTCATGGGCTGAGCTGAGGGAGATGCCCAGAAATGAGCCATAGGGAAACTGGGCTCTGGTAACCACAGCAGGTGGAATGGGTGGTTTGGGGAAGGGAGCTACGAGGCAGGCATGGGATTCAACATGTTTTTCTTGCCTTTAGAAAGGCTCCCTCACATTCCAGTGAACACAGCACTATCTTAAAATGTGGCCTTCCCTGTGCTGCTGAGGCTGTTACAGCCCTGTTTTCATATGCTCATCTAGACAAAAAGTGTTTGCCACCACCAACCCACTTGATTTTGTTGCTGCACTTCTACACAGATTAAGTTGACAGTCAGTATTTTGACAAGATCAACACAAAATCTTAATAGGGAATTGCATTTATCCCTCATTTCTGGTGATCCTGAGAAAACAATTTTACTTTGTATCAAAACTATACAAAATGGAAATGAGGTTTTGTTCAATCAAAATAATCTTCTATATCGATATCTGGGTTCAGGAGATCTTCACCATAGGCTGAAAGATCCATCTGATTTAAAATTAAGTTTTCAAAGGTTTCTTCCAAGTCCGTTTCACCGATCAGCACAGCTCCCACCATTCGGCCGTTCTGCATCACTACCTTCACGTACTCCTGTCCCTTGGTACATCTCAGCATCAGTTCGTGGTCTGAGCCCAAGCCCTGAGCATTGTACTTCCCCAAAACCACCACCTAACAGAAGGAAAAGGAGAAAGGAAAAGCGCTCATAAGAACATTGCAGTGGCTTTTAGTATTTCTGCTGCCAGCAGATCTAGGCCTCAAAAGACAGATGTAAACAGGGAAGTATTTGTCCTTAGGGACCTTCCCACAACAAAACCAACAACAGACTCAAAACTCTTCACCTTGAAATATCATACACAAAACCCCACAGTAAACGAGTTATCATGCTGAACTGTGTTGAATTTATCCATGAGCAGAACCTTAATGAAATGGAATATATACAGGAATACAAGGCAGATCAGTTGTCATTCACCAACTGCAATTTGTAATGTATCTGTAAAGATTTTAGCTCTTTCCAGTTTCTGCACTCAAGGTTAGTATGAATGGAGACAATCTGAGCTAACATTACTTACTATGTAAAGAAAACTGTTTTGTCAATATTAAAGCACCTGCTCAGTGTTAACAAGTGAATATATACTAGCAATCTGTGTTACCCAGTGGTTTAAGACCATTAGACTGAATTTACTTTACCTTGTAATTGAAAAATTTCGTAACATGAGCAAATAGTTCAAAGCTGAAATCCATTTCAATAGATTCCCCCAAAGTATCTGCTGCCATGCATTTTGCTGCATACCATCCCATCTGCCGAGCTTGAGTCCACAGTCTCATCTAGAGAAGACAATTGGAAAGATTTAAATCACAAGACACGTGTGGCTGTGCACAGGCCGACACTCGCTGCTCTCCTCAGTGCTCACTGCGTGTTCCTGGGATGCTCAGGAGGGCTGGACAGCTCAGCTTCCTGCCACCCAGATAAAGTTACCTGTCATCAACACGCCCAGGATTAGCTACTTGCCCAGACTTTCCCTTCTGGGAGTGTGTCACAGTGTGTGATTTGCTCTGTGGGTCAGACTGACTGTCTCAGACACTCGCAGGGTCGGACGTACCTGGTGCCACACGGGGCTCGGCTCCCAGGCTGCCGTGCAGATGTCTCCAGCTGCGTACACATCTGGCACTGACGTGTGCATGTGTTCATCTACTTTGAGTCCTCCATCTTCCCCTACAGCAAACTGAGGTATTTGCACAGGTCAGCAATGAGAGAAGTAATAATTTTAACTGTCATTCAATTCATCCACATTAAGCGATCATCTCCTTTGTTACTTTATTATTTAACATGAGACTATCCCAAATGGCAAGACCTCCACAGAAGGTACAGAGCATTAAGATTATTTCTAGACCACAGCACAGGTTTTTAAAATGCTATTACTCATACCTAGGCAGGGAAGTGACAGAGCTTGCCAAATTTCAAATCACACTACGTGTGTTTCAGGGACACTCAGTCTTAAGGTTTCATTTTGTATTTTTGCCAAGGTGAGAAAATACCAATGTAAAAACCTAACTCCTGATCTATCCTTATAATGCAGGCCTGGAAGTCTCTCATGGCTCAACATCAGATCTGTGTTTTCAGCATTTTCTTCTCTTTTAATCAGAGCATAGCATTTTACTTCCTAATCAGACAGAACCACTAAACAGCAAACACCCCAACATACTGGCTTTGTCCGGAATAATTTTCTTAGTAGTAGCTGGTATGGGGCTATTTTTTGGATTTGTGATGAGAACAATGTTAATAACCCAGGGATGTTTTAGTTGTTGCTTGGGTAAGCAGAGCTTACCCAAGACCTCTTCTGTTTCTCCTGCTGCCCTGTCAGCTCTAAGGCTGGGGCTGCACAAGAAATTGGGATCGGAAGCAGCTGGGGCAGCTGACCCCACTGACCAAAGGGGGACCCCAAGCCACATGATGTCCTCAGCAAGAGAAGCTGGGGGAAGGAGGAGGAAAGGGGGACATTCATAATTATGGCACTTGTCCTCCCAAGTAACTGTCATGCCTGTAAACCCTGCCTTCCTTGGAATGGCTGAACATCTCCCTGCTGATGGAAAACAGTGAATGACATTTTTTTGGTTGTGTGCACAGCTTTTGCTTTACCTAAATTGTCTTTATCTCAAAGTGAGATTTCTCACTTTTAACTCTTGTGCCTCTGTTTCCCCTCCCCTCTGTGGGGACCCAGGCAGCAGCTGGGTGGGGCTGAGCTGCTGGCTGGGGCTAAACTGGACACTGAACATGGACACAGAATGGTCCAAAGGCTGAAAATTCTCATGGCAGCTACGAACTCTGGAATTGTCATCCACGTTTGGATGTTGATTCAGTGTGACTTCCCTTGGTGAATATGAGCACTGCTATAGCTCAGTGTCCCAGATGAAGAATATTGGAAATAACTGCTTCCTTCCCAGGAGAAGATGTTAAGATTCTTAAGATAAGAATATGCTGCAGAATTAACACAAAAATTATTCTACTTTTTTGCCACATCAGCCAATTATACAAGTGTTTTTCTCTATTTGTATAGGCTTAGTCTAAGAGCTTATACTGCATATATACTGTGTATATACAGATGGGGAGCAACATAATAAGCCAAGACCAGAAATAAAATACATTTTTCTCATGCTGGATGTTTCAATATCAACATACCTGCCTCATTTTGAGATGCTGCACAGTATTCAAAACCTTTAGCAATCTGTATTTCACGTCAGAACAGAAAGAAAAAACCCATAAAGCTTCTTTCACCTTTCTTAAAAGAAACTTAAGCTCCAGAATAAATCAGTATACTTACATTATTGCCATCCAGGAATGGTTTAACATTTGGCACTACTCCAGTTGCACTGACAATGAAATCACATCCGTAAATTTTTCCATTAGTTAATTCCACATATACAGGCCACAGCACTGAAAAAGGGGAAAATTTTGCCCTGAGAATGTAACCAACAGAAATTATTTTATTTATTATGTTTTATAATAAGATATGAAATAAAAAGAAAAAAAAATCTTTTGAGATAATTTTCATTCAGTGGAATTTATAGACAGAATTATTCATGAAACAAGGAATATTTTCTTCTACTTTCAAGGTTTACTTCAGTTTTCAAACAAAATGTTGGTAGTTTTTTTTCTTCTTTTCTAACTAGATTATTAAAATGTGACTTTACTGGACTGGGACAAGGAGGGAATGTTCTGCATACAGGATTTCGGTGACTTTATGGAAAAAAGGTCTGACCCATGAAGTTTTGTAATTTAACTGTAGCCCATAAATTTGATACTCTAAGTTGCTAGACCCCCATTTATAGAGATAAAGGATTTATGTTCCAAATCTGTATTTACTTGCAAACAAGATCAAACATGCTCCAGCACTGCTTCATGTTCAACACATTATTTTTAATCAGCACTGGCACTTACCCTGATCTGGTTCTACATTTTTCTCTTCTTTAGGAAAAGTCAGAGAAGTCCTCTGCAGTTGTATAAATTCTTGCTGTAAGTGTATGTTCTTCACTTCACATAATATTTCAATATGTACTTTATGAGAAAACTAAAGAAAGACAAAGTTGTAAACATAATGATTAGCAATAATAAGATTTTTAATAGCAACTATACCTTCACCTAAGTTGACATTACTAAACTGGAAAAAACCCCCACCATATCTCCCATCCCAAAGCATGACATGTTAGCCAGGTTCCCACGCTTTTTCCTCTTTTTGGCACAGATCTAACCATAGCCAATGGCAATTTACCTGCTTTTTCAGATACATGATTTTTCTGGCATGCCAGAAAACATATTCAAGTTCCCCTGAGCTTACAGGAAGAGAATTCAAAACTTATCAGAACAGAAAAAAGTAAATTCATCTTTTCTATTTTTCAGGATTGCAAATACTTCATTTTTCTATCAGGAGTGAAATTCGGCTAACAATATTAAGTTTATGGTCTAAAAGCCATAAAAACATATTCTATTCCATCAACCTGTGTTTCAACCACCTACCCCTATTCTGAGCTCAAAACAGAAGGTGGAGTTCCCTGCTTTTTGAACTATTTTGTGGATTCTGGCCTTGAACTGCTTTATTCTCCACTACAGAAACATTTCCACAGCCTTCAACAGCCAAACCACCACCAATTAAGCTGCTGAATATCCTAAACATCCTTTAGCTGGTGTTCTAAAGCCACTTCTGTAGAATCTATGACTGATCACCTTTAAAAGGTCATTTCTAAAAATGCAAACCAGATGCAAATACCTGACAGCTAAGAAATTAATAAATAAAAAAATGGATTAAAAATATGCAGTGTGAGGATTTTTACTTTTTTTCAAACATGAAACTCCATGTCCATGTCCACTACTGATTTTGCATTTTGTTATCTGCTGTGACAGGAGGCTGATGTTCAATCCTACTGTTCCATTTTGCACATAAGAAAATGTGTATGTGGCAGCTAAAAATCAGGACAATAGAAGTACCACTGCTTCTGATCAAAGCTAGGATTGACACCAGTCTTACAGAAATATGCAAGCCAACATTTATGTTTCAGTCTGAAGAGTAACTTGCTAAAACTATGCCAGTGGATCCAGCTAACCACCTTTTTCCTGAAGCAGAAAATTTTACTTTATTTGTGTTAATGTATTTTGCTGTTTACTTCTTACAGGAGAACCAGTTCAAGCACATTTTATTTTTATTTTTATAATAACCCTGAATGTGACATTTTATGTTCTGTCCTCATGTAGTTAAAGCAATATTCAAATGAATGTGTAAGCAAGACTGTTCCACACCTCTTTAGTCCCTTTAAGATGCAAGCCCTCGTGCCAGTCAGGGCCTAAGGCACTGCCCAGTTTGTCAGATGCTGCAGTGGGTCTTTCTTTTTCCTGGCTTCCTGAAGGAAACAGATGGAGCATTTCAGATTTAATGTACATACATGGCTGCCCACAGAATTCACAACAAGGATTCTCAATTAATAGAAATACCATCGGGCTGCCAAAAGGGAAGACAAAAGTGTAATATCCAAAAAAACCCACAATCATTTGCAGACAAATCAGACTCCAGACCAGTATTTTTAACACCTTTCAACTTCATATCTCTCATTACTTCACTATCTCTGAAACAACCATGCCCCTGTTATGTGCCTGCACTATCAGCCAGCCAGCCCCCAACTGCAGCAGCTTCTGGAGACCCACTGTAGACACTTTTTTGTAGCTTAATATCACTCATATTTAAACTGATGTCTGCTTGCTGGCAAATGTGCACTTCCACTGCACAAAACATTACTATATTAACTGATTTCAGGACTCTCTTTAACACCAAATGCTGCTGCTGCAGTGTTAGGAGTCTAAAGCACCACACCTTCCACTGTGTACTTGGTTCTTTTACACTCGATCGGAGTCTCTCGTTCCTCAGCAGTCAGCTTTGGAATGAGAAATTCAGCTGCTCCTGCATCAAAAAAAGTGTTCCCAATGGCTTTGTCTTTGATAGCCCAGATGACTTCACAGCCTTGAATTTCATACCTGTGGACATTTAAACAAGGGATAAAGTGACAGGCGACCTGAAAAGCAACATGTTTAGAAGTGTGTCAAGTTCCCTTCCAGAAGCCAGAACTAAAGGGATCCAAGACTTTTAAACCTATCAAATCCACTTCTAAATAAGGAACCCATTAAAAAAAAAAACCTCCTCAAGTTGACAGGTCATACTTTCTCACCAGCACAACCTTGACTGAACCAGGGCAGGGGATGAGGGGAGGTAGATAAAATTTGTAATAATAATACTATTTAGTATTTCCTGCTCCCCATAATGTAAAAGAAGTTCTGGCATTTTTGCCAGGCTGCCCACTGCTAAAACCAGGCATGTGGATCTCATTTGTACTATATGGAACGTGAACTGCATATTCTTGATATCTGTGTGTCAAAGCTTCTTTGGAAGCTTTCCTAATTGTGTCATTAAACACCACTGGTTTATGTGACAGTAAGCACCACTATACTAAGAAGAAAATAACTGTAATCAGTTTTGCTACTAAATGCTTTAAGAGCTACAATTTTGAAAGTCAACCTTCTCCCAAACTCATGTTCACTAGAATGAACATTGCATTGTTAAAGATTTTATTTAAATATGTATCATTCAAAATCTTAGTTGTTTACTTACACTAATTCAAGGGCAATCCCACCATTTCCTACCACAACTATTCTCTCAGCTTGAGCCAAATTCTTCTGAAAAGCCTGCATTAAGAAAGGAAAAATGTCAGTTACAACTTCAATCATGTTCCTTCACACCAATGAATTATACCCTTTTCAATTTTTTCTTGCTCTTAGTCTTATTTTGATTTTCTCAGTCTAATGCTACACACATAGGCTGAGATCTGTAACAGAAGCTCGTGAAACCTGTGAAGGGATGAAGTAACTGATACAGCCTTACAAGCCTCAAACTGAGATAGGAATTAAATAATTACATTTAAGCTGACTAGACAGAGCTTTTAGAAGTATCCTGGATTCTATTCTCTGTCCTACTGTTCCTTCAGTAGCTTTTCACTGTAAGAAGCAGCCCTTTGTACCATGTACCAGACACACCTTCCCAGGGAAGTTTCTACAGGTACCTACTTCCTCTTTATATTTTCAGATTGGATTCTGCCTGAAGGGTGAAAGAATATAATTTATTCTATATTATCGTGTTAGAAATACTGTGTATGAGCTATCTATAAACTTAACAAATTTAGTGGCTAAATAATTTATTAAATGGTATTAATAAGGCTGTTTTTCTGCTACTGAAAATGTTCCTATTTAAGGATGTATAATAACAAACATCATCTTCTGTTTCTTCATTTTACTCCACAATGATTTTTAGTATTTTGCACCAGATGCAGGACCACATTAAACACTTTTAAGTCCAGAACACATTTACCTGTGCACTGTCAGTATCCCGGATTCCTAATACATATGGGTTTCCTTCAAAAATTAATTTTGGTTTTGCTCCAGCACACAGGCAAAGTTTTTCATACACATATTCCTTCCCATCTTCGGTGAAAATTTTCTGTTAAAAATTAAGAAAAAAGAAAAATCAATTCATTTAAGAGAATTCCCCTAAATCAAGACACCTAAGAGAACTTCAGCTTTCTTTTTTCTTAATGTCAGAGTAATTTGCACAGATTAAAAGCTGTAACTGGCTTCTTAATGAGCAAGCCTTCATACAGCCACTGATTGTGTGACATTTATTTGCAGCACACTCACCACAGACCTAAGTATACGACCAATAAAATGGCAAGTACACAGTGCACTCCGAGAAAGACCAAGTTTACCACTTGGTGGCACTTTGTACTCACTAGCTGTGCTAAAAGAAAACTGTTTTCTGTGTGACAAATGTCCCCCTGGCCCCAGTAACAGAAGCAGATTACTATATACTAGCAATTAAGAATCTCATTCTAAACATTTCAACAGCAGTCAGCCTGTGTTAACCAGGCACAGGCTAGGACACAGTTTAGAAAGACTGCAAATTCTGTTCTGTGCTGAAGAAAAAGGGAAGGCTCTAAAGCTATGTCATTCTGAAAAAATAAAATCTTAAATATAACTATTTTATGACCTTACTTGTTGTTTTACAAATTAGAAGCTGCATAGTGGTTTTGCACAAAGAGAGTTTTTAAAGGTTTTGGGCAAAAGATCCTCTAATTACATGAATTATTTACATCCACAGGGACCTAAGCTAAGACACCATGACAGTAACCATGTAAGAATATCATTAGATTCAGAACATTATTAGAATCCAACTGGAACCACATCTCTGAGATTTAAAGTGAGCGAAACCAGTTTTGGGTCTGAACGTGAGTTTCTGATAAATGCTGAGGTGAAAAGTAACATGTTGACACAGATGCTAACGAGGATCTGCACATGCTGTACACTGCTCATACTTCCAGTGTATTTCCTGCTAAAAGAAAGGAAGAAAATGTGGAAATGCTGGTTCCTCCAAGAATTATTTATTTTTGGTATCACGAAGTTGTTAACATTTTGGTTTCTGTGGCAAAGAAACAGTAATTTAGGAATAAGAAACATCTCCAGTCAAGGGTTATAGAAGTTTTCACATTCCTATATTGACAGACAGTATTGGTTTCACTGGCTGTTTTCCCTGCTATTCCAATCAGATATTCAACGCAGTATCTCTAAGGTGTCAGAGATTTAAATCTAAAAGATACGGTTTCTTAATTAACAAGTAATTTTTGATGGGACAGTTTGGTCCCCTGTACATACTTCTACTTGAAAAACAGTGTAAGCAACAAGTGAATTAAAGTTAGGAAGTATTTTCTTTTAATTTTGGTAACTTAACACTTCAATAACCAGAATGTTCTCACCCAGAATTTTTCTCACCCAAAACACTCAACTGCTTCCAAAATTATTTTTTATACGAATAATTTGAAAAACTACATAAAAAGAAAATATTAGCTTACGTGTTCATCACTTTTCAACTGTTTTACTCCAGACTGTATAACTTTAATATTGGGGTATCGTTTTTCTAATATGGAACTTGGTTGCTCCTCTACATCAAATTCCTCAAGTGTTTTGGAGACCTGTAGGAAAAAGACAGTTGTTTAAAAATATGGACCATTTATCCCTCTCTTTTTCTAAAGCTTGTAACAGAATGTGTTGTGTTCATTTCCAGTAAAGAAGTTTTCACAGGGTAAAGTCCATACTGCCTGAAAACATGTTATCATGTTACTGCTAAAAGTTCCTTTTTCTATACAGAATATTCTTACGCCTATTCCTGGTTAAAAAGTCAAAGTACTACAGGGAATTTTAACCCTAGGGATAGAGATTAAGTTCCTTTAGAGTGGGGAAGAGAGCAGTGTTTTCCAAGATCTGAGTACCTCTGCAAAACTAGCCTAATGAACCTACTAGCCAGAAATCTGAATCACACAGGGATTTTATTTTCTTTTTCAAACCAGCAAGAAAGAGGTCACTGAATCACCAGCTGCTGGAGACATAGATGAACCTCAAGGCAACTTCCCAGAAGGCTATCCCTTCTTTTGCTACTTTGTCAGAAGTCTGATTCTCTCCCAGGTTCAAACACACTGCTGTATATGAGAACCATGGGCAAGACCAAGACACCATTTCAGTGCTTAAAATGGAGCAGCCACTACTAAAGCAGTGAAATAAAACTTCAGTAGCTCTGAAAACACTTCAACCATGTAAGTACCCAGTTCAACCTTTACTGGAATGGTGTGAATACACTCACCAGTTACTAATGATTCTGAATCACTATAAAATAGCTCATCAGTCCTACTGACACCACTGCAATCACATTAATGTGGAAACAATTTCAAAGTCACGGGCATTTTCAGAACTGGGTTCTAAATTATCTGTACATATAAACTTTGAAGAGGTCTTGCCATAAGAAAAATCAAGTCTCTCTTACCTGTTTGAAATTAGTTACAGCTTTTATAACTGGGGAAGCTGTCATTAAAAAAATGTCTTCTGAAGGGAATTCCGTGGCCAGCTTGTAAAGAAACAGAAAAGTGATGAGAGTCACCATCAGATTTTGACTTTAAGACAATAAAACTACTGATGAAAAGTAATATGTGTTAATGCATTACTTTAGTCTTGTAAAATCCTATTGTATAAATATGACTTCAAGTTTGTGGAAACGAAGAGAATTTGGAGACCCAGTATTTCAATTAATTCACACACAAATACACCTTCAAGAACTGCAGCCATGGTGTAAAGGACTACTTTATTCCCACAGTATTCCAAAGGCCAACCTGTGGAACAGACTATGATCATGTGGTGCCTGGAGACACCCAGTTGCTGAATGCACATTTTTCTTATTGCACAGCAGTGACTAATTGTTTACAGGTTTTTGAAAGATGAAATGCTGATTTCTACTGGGTATTTTAAATGTTATTTAACAGATTATCACCTTCAGGGTGCTACTAAGTAACACAAGACTTCCAAGGTCCCAAGCCAAAAACAGAGTTCCCCTTTTGAACTCAGCAAGTTTACAGGTAACCCAAGCCAAGCAATGCTGTCAATCAGAGGGAAGGGATGTGATCCAGAGGGAAGGGGTGCTATCCAGAGGGACCCTGACATCACCAGAGAACAGATATATCCGAAACACAGTCTTTACACTGCTCTGCACTTTAGCAGATAAAATATTCTTCACTGAACTAATACGCACATCATTTCATTCCACATTACAGGTACAAAATTACCTCCAGTTACTGTTACCTAAAAGACACCAAGAACCTTGAAACCAAGGAACAGGACTAATTTACTTTTAGAGGTTTTGCTCACAGGGAGCTGAAGAGAACTGGACAAGCTCCACAGGTGTATGGCCTTAAAAAACGGATCCAGTAAAAACTGAGCAGTATTTTTATAAAAAGGAGAGCAGCACAGCAGCCTTCACCTTGGCTGCAGCAGAGTTCTTTGTGGCTATGTGGAATAAATCCTGCAGAGCTCCTGCACCTCCCTGAGCTCTGGACCAGCACACAGAATGCCAGCTTTCTGCACCTATAAAGTTACAGCCTGATTTTTATGCAGCAATTGTAAGCTGCTTCAAAATAACCCTATCAGGCTGTCCGTAGCACAGTTTGAACCTCTTGAGAAGTACTTCTACACAGATAAATACGATTATACTACAACTGGAGCTGGGTTTGGCTTTCGGCTTTTTTTCAACTGGGACAAAATATCTGTAAGAAATGAGGGTGGCAGGTAGGCCACAATATGGAACAACTGTATAAACAAGAATACTTATGCAGTCACTATGTAACTCTAGTGAACTGTTTCTACGAGAAAGCACAAGGTGAGTCTGTGAGGGGCATTTATATCTCTGAGTAACCGCAGGCACCCGGGCGGTCCCGTCAGCAGCGCAGCCCGGTTCCACCAGGGC